TCTCGTTTCTGGACATGTGCAGATACGGTTATCTGCTTCTGTTTTTTGGGCATCTTCAGGGGTTATCTGTGGCCTTAATACTTAGATGGGTGTGTATTTTGGTATTTTTTATTCTTTCTGATTGCCTCCAGGTAGAGGTGATCAGGGAATAGGCTCCCCTTTTCATTCTTCTTCTTGAGAAATTTCAAGATGCCACTGTTGGTCGTTTTGACGTAACTTAGGTTTAGTTTTCAGCCTATTTCCTTTTTTATCTACTTGTCCCGCTCCACAATCCCCGTTCAGGCCTTTTTTCTAGTTATAAACAGTTCATGGCTGGCTGTGGCCATTTGGTTTTAATTGGAAACTCCCTTTAAATTTCGAGGAGATCTGTGCACAAGCGTAGTAGAACCCTCTGAGGGTGGGGCTGGGGTGTCCACTAGCTCAGGTATCCCTATATCACCGGAATGGAGGTGCTCAGACAGCAGGGGATCAATGAACAGATACCAAAAGAAAAGAATGTCCACACCTTTATCTCCGTGATTCTGCCAGGCATCTGTGGCTGCTCTGATCCTTCCCCTGCTTGGTTTCACCTAAGATGGCGGCTCCTGGAGCAGCTAAGCATTCTGAACTAGAAAGCAATGGATTTCTTGCTTCTGCCACAAATTCCCCCAGTTGTAAGCCTTCCAACCTTCTAAATATTCCTTTATATGTGGTTCAGAGTTCTGGGCCCATCCGCTGAGCTTGCTTGGTCAGGTATTCTGTGTTGTTACTGGCGGAGCTCTTTACTGCACTTCCACTCGCTCCGCCATCTTGTTTGTTCCTGGTTTGGTTTTATAGTACAGATATGCATCGCTTAATGTTTGTTTGGACAACATCCAATTGCATATACATCTGTGATCCCTGGGGAATTTTTAAATTATTTTAAAGGAAAAGCAGCTCTCCTTTCATTTCCTGCCCCCACCCCCTAATGATCTGCTGCACAAGATTGCTTTAAAGTGTTTGAAAACAAAGATACCAGATTGAGGACTAAGGTATGCTTGACCCAAACCATGATATTTTCAGTAGCCTCTATGTATGTGAAAGATGGACTGTGAATAAGAAAGACTGTAGAAGAATTGATGCTTTTGAGTTATGGTGTTGGAGAAGAATACTAAATGTACCATGGACTTCCAGAAGAACAAACGAATCTGTGTTGGAAGAAGTACAGCCAGAATTCTCCTTAGAAGCTGAGATGGCGAAACTTGGTCTCTCATACTTTGGACATGTTATCGGGAAAGACCAGTCCCTGGAGAAGGGTATCATGCATGGTAAAGTAGAAGGTCAGCAGAACAGAGGAAGACCTGTCGAGGACCGGCCTCGACAGGGAAGTTTGGTTCACGAAGTAGGGAGATCTGGCGGCAAAAGAGATAAAGAAAGTATATACACAAAGATGCGACGAGAGAGACAAAGAGACACCCCGAAACTAGAGTGGATGGAAGACTGGCGGGCAGACCCTGGACTGCAGACATCATGGCCCTGCAGGCAGTAATGCATACAGGGTTCAGTCTGCACCCTTCTTTTATTTCAGGGAGGGATTTTACACAAATGAAGAAGGGGATTATTAAGACAGGGTACAGAAATGAAATGTGATTAATTGTTCAAAACAGGACACAATGATTTACAGGAACAAATTCTAAAATATACATAGCAAATTGTCTTAATAATCTAACAT